GTGTAATACTTTCATTTTCCTCGTGGGACCTAGCCCACTACTAAGCACATAAGTGCTTAATGACTGTGTCAGTTATATTAGCTGCTCTCGGAAAGTAGAGACACGGTAAAGAAATGTTTCTTTTTTATCTGCTCAGTTGTAAATCAACTCTGACTAAAGTTAAGCAGCAGCAAAGGGAAAGGATAGCTGTAGGGGTATTAGCTGCTCAGTGGCTCCTCGGGAGAAAGATCTGGCAATCTGCCCCGTAAAGATTACAGCTTAGAAAACCCTAAGGAGAAGTTCTGCTCTGTCACATGGGGTTGCTACATGTTGGAATCAACTCAATGGCACCTAGCAACAACAATGGTACTTCTTCTTTTTGTTTCCTTCAGGACAATACAGCTATATGAAGAGACAATAACCTCTCATTTACCCGCAGGACAGTCTGAGGATGGATAATTACACCGCAGCCCCCGATTATGAGTATGATGTTCTCATCGAGGGTGATCTGAAGTACGACGACCTAGAACAATGTGACAAATATGATGGCAGGGCTCTCTCGCCTCAGCTGGCACCAATGCTATGTTCCGTGTTCGTGGTCTGTCTGCTGGGCAATCTCTTGGTTGTGCTCATCCTGGTAAAATATAAAGGACTCAGACAGGTGGAGAATGTTTATTTCCTAAACTTGGCCTTTTCCAATTTGTTGTTCTCGCTGACCCTGCCGTTCAGGGCGTCCGCTGCCTTAAGCGGGAGGATTCGCGGAGATCCCATGCATACAATTCTCATTGGCATCTACACCATAGGTTTGTACAGTGAGGTGTGTTTCAACGTGCTTCTGACAGTGCACAGGTTCCTGTTGCAAAGCTCTTCATCGAAAGCCTGTATAGTGTTCCGCAGCATCCTTACCAGCGTCCTGGCGTGGACAATGTCCGTCCTGATCAGTTTGCCTGAGTGCGTGATTTACAGACCTCAGATGGAAGGACTGGAAGACAAGTACTCATTTTACATACTTCATCTTCTGCCAGCGAATAAGACATTCTGGAAGTATGTTCTGACTTTAAAGATGAACGTTTTGGGACTTCTGTTTCCACTGTTTATTTTCATATTTTGCTACGTGCAAATGAGAGACAGACTAACATTCAGGAACAGCAAGAATGGCCTTTACAAGCTTGTTTTTACCATCATGGCTATTTTCCTTCTGATGTGGGCCCCCTACAATATTGCAATTTTCCTGTCTTCTTTCAAAGAACGCTTCTCCCTGGATGACTGCAAGAGCAGCTACGGCCTGGACCAGGGTGTTCAGATAACGGAAATCATTGCTGCCACCCACTGCCTCGTCAACCCTCCCCTCCATGTGTTGTTTGACCAGAGCTTTAGGAGACACCTGTCCCACGTGCTCCACCTGAGTAAGAACACTCCAGTGCAACCCGGGAAGGAGTCTGGACAAGATGCATTACGGGAAAATCACGAGTATTCCACTGGAGTATGAACCAGCTTCCATTCAAGGCAGGATAAATAATCATCAACTTTTGTTCCATCACATTGTTTCGTGTAATTTCTACATGTTTGTAAATAAAATAAGACACGAGGAGAAAGCTGGGGAGGC